CATGAAAGTGGCTTTTGTGTTCGGTGTGGAGAATATTACATAGGGCTGATTTTCTCTAATGATATTCAAATAAAGGTCTTGGGGTATTTCGCTGTGGAGTTTTTTATTATTTTGGATGTAGGCTTTTCTGGATGTATTTTTGTGGTCATGGGTATACATTGCTTGAGGTGGGATTGAACGTGATGTAAGGAGTTTCGGAACGGTCTGTTTGAGGATCCTAGTAGAATCCCTGGCGTCTTTCTAATCTTCCTCTTCGCATATTTCTAAGGAATATAAGTTTAGGTGCTATACGCCCTCGATAAACATGAGTCAGTTAATTAAATCAAGAAATCCTATTTGGTTTTAAAGAGAATGAGAAGTCCTTTATCAGTTTATTACATTTGGGTGGTAACAGTACAAAGTGATTGAGACTGTAACGTTTGTTAACGTCATAGGTTAAATATAATAGAATAAAAAATAACTGGATTTTGAGTTTACATTTGTCATTTACATGCTTCTACATAATCTGGAAAGGCGTCAATTTCTGCATTGGGTAATTGAGACCACTGGATAAGACGGTTGAAAGTCGTGAAGTGAGTAAGGAAAGCTGATGGTATTGCTACACCTTGAACACGATAAACAGAATTCGAAGATCCACGAAGCCGTCCAAGATGTTGAAATGAACTGATTGCAATTTTTCCTATAAGTTTGGTTGATTGTATTAGTGGTCCATCAGTAAAGCACTAGAAATTTTAAAACAGGAGAAACAAGGCACACATCGAATTATCTCTGAATTTTGTAGGTGGGATAGAAATAATAAACAGCAAACATGTGATCTGATTATATAGATAAGAAAATTAAAAGTATGCAGTTTACTGTGGGAGTGAAGCGGTGGAGCGTGTTGACTATTTCACTTATTTAGGAAGTTGTTCAACCAACGTCAACTGGTTGATCCTTGACGAAATCTCACAACGCATACAGAAGTCTCATTCGCCATACACCAACTCACGCCATCTCTGCCTTAGAAGACCTGATATTCGTCTCTCCACCGAAGGACGTGTGCAATGCACAGTAGCAGCAGTTTGCTTCATCCTCCTTCTTCCTCGCCGTGAGACATGGCCATTGAAAGTGGAAGACATGAAAAGGCCTCCTAGCTGCCTTTCATCATAGGTGTCTGTGTTCTGTCTCCCGTGCAAGATGCTGGTATAATAAGGTGACTAATATTGAGGTTAAGCGTCCAGTGCTAAATAATCAGGGAGCAGTGGAAATCAATCGATGAGGTTGTGAAGTTACACCAACTGAGATGGTTAGGAAACGTGTTATGCATGGATGCCTAGCCAACGATCGCCATCATAGACTGGCAATAGTAGCTGACATACGTTCGATGAGGTTGGAAAAGAGATAGTGGTGGTCAAACCAAAACATGGCATCATTCAGTTAGTGAAATCCATAACAGTCAGTTTAAGTCGGCCACGCGGGGAACTGCAGACTACCTAACAAACTACGGTCTTCAGGATGGTGAGAACCAATGGAGGCTGGACACAGTGGGTGATGTGGCTCAAAATCGTCGTTGTCAATGAAACAGATGCAATCACTCTTTGTGATTTGTCATATGCAACAAAACTCTATTGTTCTATCATATCACTATTCTTTTTCCATCACACTACTGTTAATTATCTGTCTTTTGAACCTCCTTTTACTCTCTTCTCTTCTCTTGCTTTGTGTGTTATATGGAGAGTAGCAACTCGAACTGCTGCACATCTGTGCAAAGTTCTATGTTGAAACCAGTGAGTCAGTATACAGTTCACAATGTCATAACTTGCACAGGGTGCACTATGCTACGAATGGGATCACAGCTATCACAATGATTTTGTGAACTATGTGGGTATTTCGGTTAACCTAGAACTTGGTGTTATTCATACACATTATATTCAAAATATTTTACATTTTCTCGCGTGATGAATAAACTTACTGGCATAAAATTTTACATCTTGTCGGCTTGAAGGCGACAGTAAGTTTTCCTCCATTATCTCGAAAAGGACTGTGTGGTGACTGACTTAGAACAGATCAACTCTCTTAATGTAATTAGTCTGGATGGAAGCAAACAAAAGTCTTCTGCCAATTCAGTTATCTCTGCAAGGACCTATTTACTGTGCATGAGTTCGCTTCGTCTTTACAGCTATGAGAACATAGGTGCATCTGTTCAACCAGTAGCGTTATATGGAGTAATATATTCAGTGATAATGAGGTTAGACAAGCAGGCGAAACCGATCAATAAGGTTCTGAGGCTCCACGTGGCGGCTACGATATATTTTGAGCCAACACCTTCTTTATGAAGCGTTTTCATCTTTCGGTCGGTCGGACGGTTTTCGACATAGAACTTTGCACATATGTGCGGCAGTTCAAGTCGCCACACTCCCTCCTTGTAGCACACAAAGCAAGAGAAGAAAGTAGGAGAAATGCATAATATAGACAGTAAACGGAGGTGTGAGACAAAGGAATAGTAATAACGAAGAACAAAACAGTTTCATTGGAAATCATGAGTCACAAGGAGTGGATGCATCTGCGCCACTGAGAACGATTTTGAGCCATGTCACCAATTGTTTCCAGCCATTGGTTTTTGCCGTCCCGAGGGCCCCAACCAGGACGCCTACACCTTCTTATGTGGCTTAGACTAACTGTTGTAGATTTCATTGACTGGTGCCATGTTTTCGTTTGACCGCCGCTAGCTCTTTTCCAGCCTGACCCTATATCAGCTAACATTGCCCGTCGAGGAAGGCGATGACTAGGCATACGTAACAGATGTCCTAACCATCTCAGTCGATGTAATTTCACAGTCTCGTCTATTGATTTCCCCTCCTTACCTAGCACTCGACGCCTAACCTCAATATTGCTCACCTTATCATACCACTTCACGCGGGAGATAGAACGCAGACACCTATGATCAAAGACAGCTAATCTTTTCATGTCTTCTGCTCTCAATGGCCAGGTCTCACAGCCATAAAGGAGGACGGAGCGGACTGTTGAGCAGTACACACGCCCTTTGGTCGATAGTCGGATATCACGTCTACGCCAGAGACGGCGTAAACTGGCATATGCGAAACTAGCTCTCTGTATTCGTGCTGAGATTTCGTCAGAGATCAACCCACTGGGACTGGCTGATGCAACTTCCCAAATAAGTGAAGTGGTCAACACGCTCAGCCACCACTTCACTCCCTGTTTCTAACCTGAGAGTCAGTGTAGTCCAGTCCTGTAACATCATCTTACATTTGGCGGGAGCAAGTTGCACGCCAAACATTCGCAGATTGCTGCTCAAGGTGTTCAGAAGACTCTGCATTTTGTCAGCGTCCTCACCTAGAAGGACTATATTCTAAGGCAACGAGATTATTCCCTGGTAGCAAGTGAATCCCTGAGTCGCTGATGTGTTAGGGTTAAGTCCATCAGTACGTCTATGATGAAGTTGAATAGGATTGGGGATAATGGGCATCCTTGACGGACGCCACTAGTCGTCACCACTTCAGATGACAACTCCCCATAAGCCCTCACCTGGCTGCATGAGTACGAGTTGAGTGCCCTATTCAGTGCAATGTATTTTCTCGGCATTCCCTTTACAGCCAAGCATCGCCAGAGAACCTCTCGGTCGACAGAATCGAATACCGCCTTTAGGTCAAGAAATATAATGATTGTCGGACGCCGGTAGGAATGCCTTTGTTCTAGAATCTGTCGAAGGGTGAAGATATGATCAATACACCCTCTACCTGGCCTAAAACCTGCCTGGTTTTCTCGTGTTTGTGTCTCTCGAGCACCACTTAGTCTACGCAGTATTATTGAGCCTAGGATTTTAGATACTATATTAGTCAAGCTAATCCCTCTGTGATTATCACCAGAAGACTTGTCTCTCTTCTTGTATATCGGGATGATCAGTGACTTACACCAACCCGATGGGACTTCCTCTGATTCCCAGACGCTGCCTAGAACCTAAGTTAACGCAGACAGTAAACTGTCTCCACCGTACTTAAATACCTCTGGAGTCAATCCATCAGGTCCCGCTGCTTTGCCTTGTTTCAGATTAGTGGCAGCTTTAGTAACCTCAGTTAAGGGCGGAGGACCTGTGTCTATCTCCCATTCAGGGAGGCGTTGGATGTCCGGCAGGTTAAGTGTGGCTGTGGGCCAATTAAACTGCTCCTCATAGTGTTCTTTCCAACGCTCCAGACGTCTATCCTAGGAGCTAATTATGGTGCCATTTTTCTCAGAGATTGTTTCGCTTATCATTTGCCTTTTACCACCTGTTTCCTGATAAGCCTGAATAGTTGTCTGGTGTTGCCTATCGCCTATGCTTTTTCCATCTCTTTCGCCTTTGTCAACCACCACTGTTCACAGTACTTGCGGAGACTTTACGTAAGTTTCCTTTTGTGCAGCTTTCGCTCCTCACTGAATTCGGAGCTCGCCGGAATAAGTCTTCTAGCATCTATCAGTTCGGATGAGGCAGTCGAAATTCAATGGTTTTTACTCACCTTTGGATTTATCTTATTCGCAGCTTTTACAGCTGTATCTATGGCTGACTGAATATTCTTCCAGGCTTCTTCAGGGTGAGCGCAGCTGTCGATGTTGGAACCAGTCAGTCAGTCAGTCACGCTTATTTGCAATCAAAAATTACATTTACTCTATGTGCCATAAAATTTTTCTTATAGACTTAGTATAACTAGGCTATTAAAAACTTCTCGCATGTCAGTTATACTGTGGTTTGATAATGATTTTAATAGCAGACAAAAAAAAATTACCTCAACAAAGTCTCCAACCCGATAGACAGGCAGAGAATTTCTTTCGTTGAATTGTGATTCATCAACACGTTGCTTGTTAAAAACTTGACTGATCTGTTTCGATCGTAGAGGATTGTCTGCAAACAACTTTTGAAATAGTTCATTATCAACTGGCACATCTAACGGTTCAAAATTTAAATCATTAATTGCCATCCTTTGAATATGGGTACTTAGTGCATATAATTCTTGAGATGACGGCACCCAGTTAGTAAATGACTTATGGGCGGGATCGAATGAAATATCACATGTGAATCCACCGCTTTGTGGACTGACCACCGGGAGACTAATTACGCGAACATTGTGTTTATGGTGAAAAGCTGTCTCTAGAGCAGCTGCTAGAAGGAGGGTACATGACTGCCAAAATGCATTGTTTGCAGCTGTTGGATCAATGTGAGAATCCTAAAAGAGGAACATAATAAGCGATAATGAAAACGTCTACACAGCATAGTAAGTGAGATTGTTTATAAAAATGTTACAATAATATTTTCATCAGTATTAACCCCAGCAGCAGTCATTGTCATAAACCAAAGTCACTTGAGCCAATTCATACTGTAAACCTTTATCGAGTAGAATAAAGCATATTAAGACCATTTAATCACTATGGCAACAGGGATCTCTGGGAGCGAACCAACTAGGAACCGATTGTGAAACAAATAGGCAGGAAGAAATGGAGATGGATTGGCCATACTCTGAGGAAACCATCAAGTGACATCACTAGACAAGCCATCGCTCGAGTGGAACCCGAAAGGGAAGCGGCGAGTTGGTCGTCAGTGCAAGGGTAACTTGGAGGAGGTCATGTGAAGAGGAGATGAAAACGTGTGGGCAGACTTGGAGCCAGGTGAAGACTCTAGCAGAGAACCGAACGCAATGGAGACGCACGGTTGAAGCCCTATGTTCCTCTAGGAATTAAAGGAAACAATAATAATAATAATAATGATCACTATGACTTGTTGACAAAGATGCTGTCACCGCTGATAACTTCTTATATAACTTCCGTCTAAGTTAAATGGTGTCGTTTATTTATCTGATGATTATATTCCAACTGCACTGGATGGACACGTTACTCTTTAAGTTTAATTAGGACAAGACTATGGGTGAGGCATAGCATAGAATGGCAGTTAAACTCCTACCTCAACTTCATCGACTTTGAAAAGGCATTCGTAAGCGTTGGCCGTGAAGTAATTTGGAAACTACTTCAACACTTTGGCGTGCAGTGCCCAAGTCCTTATCAAACTCACTCAACAGCTGACTTTATGATAATGTCATGTGCTAGGTGATCCACAACGGAAAACTCATTGCGGTGTTCGAAGTGAATATAGGAGTAAGACAAGGCTGCCCATTATCACCGATGATATTCCTAAATGTGGCGGACTGAATCATGCGTCAGATTGTGGGGAGCGAAAAGACAGGAAGACGTTGGACTGATGAGAAGACTCTGGAAGATCTGGATTTCGCGTTTGGATGATTTTTGTCTAATGTCACACAAACTCGAAGAATTACAGGCGGAAACCAGCAAACTGGCTGAAGAGGCTGGCAGCGAAGACAGGACTCCAGGTGAACATGGGGAAGACGGTGATGAAGATAACCAACCAACAGCACCAATCACCATCAACAGGAGAGATTATAATGAGATAACTTCCTTTACTTGACTAGAAAGCACAGGTGGAAAGGAAGAAGACGTCAAAGCCACAGTCGGAAAGATAAAATACACCCTGATGAGTCTGAAATCAGTTTGGAAATCTTCTACACTAACTCAGCATAAAGAACAAGATTCGGATTTTCGGCACCAATATTGCGTCAGTCAATGCTTTGCATCGGTGGCACAGCGGTTTAGGACGCTCGCTGACCATGCACATGGTCCTGGGTTCGATCCCCGACCGACGCACTCCTTTACCTCGCTAAGCCAGTAATAGAACTGATAAAGAGGGAAGATTGGGCTAGCAACCCCATCTTGTAAAAATGAACACTGCTACAGAAACTTCAAGCCTCTAGCTTGAAGCCCTAAGTTTCACTGGGAACGTGGAGGTATAAAAAAAACAATAAAAAAAGTCAAGTCAGTCAGTTTTTCTGTATGGATCAGAAACTTGGCACGTCACGAAAAGCATTTCCAATAGCCAGCTGCAGACTCTTATCAACAGCTGCCTTCGCTCCATGGAGATGGATTAGGCATACGCTGAGGAGACCGTCGAATGACATCTCACGCAAAGGCCTTCGAGTAGAACCCAAATGGGAACCAACGAACGGGTCGCCCAAGGGTGATATGGAGAAGATCGTGCGAGGAGGAGATGAGAGATTATGAGGAATTGAGCCCAAATGAAGAAAACAGCATAAACTAGGATAAAGTGATGTGTTGTTAAAGCCCTACATTTCAGTGGGAATCCAAGGGAACAATAATAATCAAGATGAGGCTGAGACTATTTTTTGTGAATGAATAAGGAAGCCAATGACGAAAACTTGGCGTGAAATTCAAACACCTAATAGTACTTGAAATTTTGTGAAATAATAAATTCTAATAATCACTGCTTCTTATTTTGACAGGAGAATAAACAGGTTCTAAAATCCACTAAACATCCGGTTCTTTGTTGCTAACTAAAGGTCTCCGACTAGTGAAATCATTGGTAGATGACAGTATCGAGGATTTCTCAAATGCTACTTATTTACTTTGTCAATCAAATACTCTGAGTACGTACAAAGACTCAGTGTTATAATTGGTAGTGCATCAATTGTACTCAAAGGTTCAAAACTCTTTTTTTAGAAATCTGTTATAACGGTAAAAGAATGAGCCATAAATGCGGATCTAGTTAGAGCAGTACTAGAAATCCCATTCACGACCCCCCCTCCACCCTAATGAATATGAATGAAACAATGACACATGAAGCAGGATAGAACAGATCCACTTTATTTGATCGTTATCTTATCAACTGCATACAACCATTTAAAATTTAAAGGTGACGATAGTGCAGAGAAAACCAATAGGCAAATTACAAAACCACCGGCTAGGACATTCCCTGTGGCTCGAATGGTTCTTGCGTACCAAACAGGATTTTCATTATTTCAGTCAAAAGTCCACAGACACCCTTCCTTTCTTAGCTCCGGCTGTCTATAACAACTCAAGTGTAGTTGCTGAAGCAGATACATCGGAAGAATAGGTAGATAGATTTATCTTAGATTTTGTGAACATTTACCGAAAAGTCTGCGACTAGGAGGAAGTCACTCCATTATAGATAAGATTTTATTTTGATAAATCACACAGTGTTATACAGTAACATATACACAGTTAATACTACTGTATAACCCTGTGTGATTTATCAAAATAAAATCTTATCTATAATGGAGTTATACTCTACCACAGTGCCCAAGTTTTATACTTATAGGAGGAAGTAAATCTTCGAGCAACGCAGTCATGAGACATCTGACTTACACAGGATATCATCAGGTAGACACACCGAATTCCTTCAAAATAATAAACCAACAAGCAAGGCCAAGCCTCCTATAGCTCTTAGATGCCGTTAACTATTAAACAGGCAAAAGATGTAGTAAGCCTTTCGCCACCTCGTCTTTTAACCTTAGCTGATTAAATCATCTTTCGTTAAAAGTAAGTGGTGATTCCACTTTACATTCACTTAGTTACGCCACCATTCACTAAACGCCATGCTTCATATGTCTGATATCTAAGTGAGCATGACTCATAATGCATACCTTTTTAATATTTGTTCATTAGCAGTTTTTTAATGATTCACGCGATTTTATGGTTTAAGTGCCTCAATATCTTGTTGCTGCCCTTACTTCCAACATTTCTTGTTTCAGTCGAGAAATTTTGAGAAGTATCTTACTAAATAGACATTTCGATACGTTTGTGCATACCATAATCACTCTTATTGTTCAACAATTTATTTGTAATGATTTAAGGTGTGTTAAAATTGTAATAAAGCAACTAATTCTCAGCCGATAAGATACCAACAAAAAATAAAAAATGAATCCATTTTATGCTGCTGCAAGTGTTATTTAGGTAAGTGTCTGTGGATAACTACATCAGAGTGATAAGTGTATGCAGAGCATTGTAGGAAATACTACTTGACGAACTATTTACAGTTTTAACCTTTGGTTCCAACTACTGTCTATTCCAGTCGGAAACACATCTGATTATGTAGAGACGAATTACCTGAGTTAGTACTTAACAACATCGAGTAAACATTAAACTAACATAATCCTATCATACAGGTTTAGAACAATCCCACCGTGTAACATTATAATTCCGTACATGAGTGAAAGGATACTAAAGGAGGAATTATGTTTGAAAATGCATTCAGTTAGTGACACCATATCACTTTGAGGTATAACGAATGAACTTATTTAATATAATATAATCCATCTGCTGTAAGATTATATTAACGATATACATCCATGTAGTTATGGAACTGTCAGTATCTTAATGAAAAGGAGCAGCCACTACAAGTAGTTAGTTATCTGTAAAACTTACATAAAGATAGGATGTTAGAGTTAATGCGGAAAAAGACTGATAGTAACTAGTATGTGAAACGCGGTCGATAGCTTCTACGTTGATGTGGTGGTCAGACTTGTATATCGCAATGACCCAACAGGCTACAACTGGCCGGAACTAACTAGTGTTTCTGTAGGTTCTAATATTGCAGGAAGACTGTTAGGGCATAAATTCGATTAAAAGCAGTTACCAAAAAATTGTGAGATATTTTACACTATCCTCGGGGTCTGTGGGCAAAGTTGTACTGCTGGGGAACAGGGATGTAGCAGCAGTAAGGTGTTTCCCTCAGATGACCAGCATGCCAGCTATGCTCTCTCCACTTCGGAGAGACGGGGTTATAAAATGCTGACCCCTAAAATGGTACATCCCGATTTACTCTACGGTGGTCTGTAACCGGCGGTAAGTCAGTAATACGGAACCAATCCAAGAAACCAGTTCAAACAGGCCGTTTGTGATCGGCCTCAGGCAGTTGTCCCTTAGGCTCTGCAGTGACAGAACAATAATTCTCTCTGTTTTAGGTAGCCAAGAAAAAAAATCAACTTCTACGCTGTGGGCAGCCGGGAAGTAACAACTGCCGACACATTCCCAAACGCACCTCCTGATTACCATTCTTCTTTATCTAAAGTCACCCTCATCATCTTGTTTTCCTTCCAGCGTTTATACTATTCTGCAGACTGGTCAGTCATCTTCATTTCATTCTGTGACCATAAATAGATACGAGAGCCAGAAAAACACTTCCGACAGTCTCTTAAAGCCACGCCGCCAAATTCATATTGAGGCATTTAACCTTTGGACCTTCAACTGAATCCGACAACAGGCATCAATATCCAGAACTCTGGAATCTCGAGCCGTGGATGTATGTTGTGTTTCTGAGACATGTACGCAAGACCTGAGTGCG